AACAACTTTGCCTTGAGATTTGAGTAAATAATACAATGTTGTGTAAACGAAAGTTTTACCTGAACCTCCTGGACCATCAATGTATAAACATTTAATCTGTTGACTATCGGTTTTTTTCAAAAGGGTTAAAACAAAATCAACGATAACTTTTTGGTTATAATTTAACTTATTATACTGTTTTGTTCACCGAGTAGAGTTTCTCTTTTTAATTGTTCTGTATCTTCTTTTTCATATTCTGTTATTATTTGTTCCATTTCTGAAAATCGTGAAAGTTCCCAACCTTCTTTGCGAAGTAATTGATCGATTTTTGCGTAAGCTTTTCTAATTCCAGTAACATGTCCATATCGTCGTATATAATCTTCAGACATTGTAATTTTAAATTCATCCCATAATTCTTTTGGGTGCACCGGTTGACAATGCATTAATATTCGAACAAAAAATAGTCTAAGACGTTTCGGCATCATCCAGATAGAAGCTTCATTCATTGCACGTTTCCATTCTTCGTCGTCTTCAATTAAACCTGAAGCTAAACATGCGGAAGTAAACGTTTGATGTAATTCACCATTGACTGTTTTTAAATCATTATAACTTGTTGCTCCATTGACATTCATTAAAAAAATACGCAAGTTAAATAACTATTTCAGTTGGGCTAACTGAGTACATGCGTAATTCCAATGCAATTGAAATAACGCTAACGTTTTTCCCAACGATTAACTTGTTGTCCATCAAGAGTTACTTTTTTAAATACATAGTATAATGGTATATCTGTATATCTGTACTGGCGTGCATCAACATCTCGTTTATTTAAATCAAAATAGTCCATCAACATTGTTATACGTTCTAAAACAGATTGTAAATTCTCTTCATTTGAACAATCAGAGATAATTACATTTTGTTCGTTTGGTAAATGCACTGGTAAACGAATTATAGCATGACTTTTCTCTTGTAATGTTTTACCTGTAATGCGCCAATAAGCTTCAACTGGTCCTACGTAACGTGCTTCAATAAAATCCTTGATTTCGTCATGAACAATCTCTGTATCATTCACATTATTTTCTATAACAAAAGACGCTGCATCGTGACCTTTGTAAATATATTTGTATAAATACTTCACCGATTTAATACTTGAAATTATTTCAATTTCAACATTAATATGACAATTAAAAATTGTTGATAATATTGAACAATAAGGAACGACAAATCGATTATCTACTACAAATTCTCTAGATTTCTCATATAAAATGCTAGTATCTTTTCGACGATATTGCGGATAATCATTTTCATCCATAGTTGTTTCTTCGTGAAAGGGTTTTGGAAAATGTTTCGAACATTTTCCATTTATCATACACCAATCACCACAAGGTCCATGAATCATATTTTTCATGACGATTTCATGTAAATTTTTATCAATAACAGGATCCGGAATTTCAGCGGAAATATACTTGTCAACGGTTTCCGAATTAGTAATTTTGCAATTTTGTTTCAAAGTTACTAACATATGTACATGCGGTAAACCACGTTTTTGAAATTCAATTACATAAACGAATGCTTTTACTTCACCGAAAAATTTTTGTCGAACTATTAAATCTATCATATAATCTTTTTTTATATTAAAAACTCCAGCGCAAATATCAGGTCTATCAGCAGGTTGTTGAGCTGGAAGCAAATTTTCTTTCATTTCGAGCCAATTTGGATTGCAAGTCATTGTAATAAAAACATCTGGGGCCAAATTATGCCAGATCGACTAGAAAAGTCGCAATTTCTACGGCAAGCGACCGAACAATGTCGATTTCAACTCTTAATGGTAGCATGTTAAATCGGAATACTATGGTCGACATTTGCTCGGCCAAGTTCGGGACAAAGCGACCAAGAGTATATGGCAACATTGTTAGAGAGTCGTCTGAAACGACATATGATGATAATGTCTTAACCTTAAATAATAAAAAGCTATTTGGGGTTAAGAAATCGTCATTATACGTCGTGTTAGACGTTTATCGTTTCAGGCAACTCTTTTTTTATATTATTTTGTACTGGCTATTTCGAAAAGAAATAAAGGTAAAGTACTACTACATATTATATATTATTGTACATGAATGAATAATTTTCTTTCAATCAATTAGATGATGCCTGTAAATCTCCTCATGCTAGAAGAATTGGAAGAAATTGAAAGGCAACGAAATCTGCGTGATTTTAATATCCAAAGGAGATTGGATATTAAATAATTCAAGCCCATTCGAATTAGACGACAAACACTTTATTAGTACGTTTCGTTTGTCAAAGGAATTTGTGCATTTTTTAATTGAACATTTGGCACCACACATGAACATAAATCCACATCCAAATAGTTTAAGTGCAGAAACTAAAATATTCACAGCACTTTTATTCTATGCTACTGGAAGCTATCAACGATTAATCGGACAAAGTTACAATATTTCTATAAGCCAGTCGTCGGTTTCCAATTGTGTAAAGGAAGTATCGCAACTTATATATACTCATCTACGGAATGAATACATAAAATTTCCAACAACAGCTGTAGAAAAACAAATTGTTAAACAACAATTTATGGAAAACACTCAATTCCCTGGTGTAATAGGAGCAATAGACTGCACTCATATTCGAATCCTTGCACCTTCAGTTGAAGAGCACAACTATGTTAACCGGAAGGGATTTCATTCGAAAAATGTACAAATTGTAAATATTTTACTTTAAACATTTTTTGTGAATATATTTTTTATTATAAATATTTTATTGTAGATATTTTATGGTAAATATTTTTTATTAAACTTCATTATTTTACAGATTTGTGATAGCAACTTAAAAATTTCTAGTATCAACGTACAATATGCAGGAGCAACATATGATTCATATATATGGAGAAATTCCAATATTTACAGATACTTGAAAAGATGTTTTGAAAGAGGAGATCATTCATCTTGGTTGTTAGGGGATTCAGGTTATCCATTACAACCATGGCTTCTAACACCAATTTTAGATAGTGTACCTGGATCTCGTGAACACAAGAAGGCATTGTTCTGCAAGAAATTGTGTAGAGTGTTGCATTGGTGTGTTCAAAGCCAGATTTCGTTGCATTCTAGGGGAGAGAGGACTACGATATAGCCCTTATTATGTAGGGGTGATAGTAGTTGCTTGTACGGTTTTACATAATCTTTGCATTCAGTATAGATTACCTGAGAACAACTTGGACATACCAAACATTGAAAATATTAGAAACGAACATGTAATTGCTCAAAATTTTGATAATTTAGTGGAAGGTAGAAGGATCAGAGACAATGTAATTCGTAGATACTTTAATTAGTTTTAAAGTTAAAAAAAATAAAGTAAATTTTTTTAAGAATTCCAATATAATACTACATATCTTTATTATTTTAGTTAAATACAATAACATACATTTTGTACTATAAAGAAATAAACTTGTTTTCTTATATTGATAAGTACACATAATAATATTTTAATTTTTCAAAACAAACATGTTTTCTTATACTCATAACATGTGTAATCACATTTTAATATATTTTAAATTTCCAAACTTAACTTTTTTTATATTAATGATTACATATAATGTTTGTACATTTTTTATAAAAAAAAAATAAATCTATATTGCACGCTTTAGAAAAAAAACGAACTTGCTATTCATTTTATCCATATATCTCATTCTTATTTAGGAACCAAAGTAGGAACTGTTACATTTGCATTGCAAAAAGTATTTGTAATATTTACTAAAGTATCTCGAACTTGTAGCAGAGCTCGACTACTTTCTTTGGTAGATTCTAAAATGGCATCTTTGATAGAGACTAGGACTTCCGTATTTTGATTTAATGAAGTTACTATGTCATCCATTTTTCCTGAAGTTTCATCATGATATTTTTCCAACAAATTTGTTTGAATTTGTAAATTAGGCGTTTGATTTCTTTTTCTTTTCCTATTACGATTTGCGTTTGATGTTGTGGGCGTTACGGGTATAATTGGTACTGCGGATGTTACAATAGGTGTGACTGTTGCAGACGTTACTGTAGATGTTACTGTAGATGTTATTGTTGCTGATGTTACTATAGATGAGACTGTTGTGCATGTTGCTGTAGATGTGATTGTTGCTGATGTTACTATTATAGGTGTGACTGTTGTGGATGTTGATTCATTATACTCTATAGGAAGTGCATTAATCACATATTCAATGTCAGCTGTCAATATGTTTATAGGTTCTTCATTATGAGTTGGAAGCCCTACTTCTTCCAAACCAATATCTCCTTCGATAGCAGTCATACCTATTATTGATAATAATCTCTCTTCAATATCAGATAATTTTTTTGTAGAAACTCCTCCACCTCCTGTTTTTCCCATATGTAGTCTCAATTCACTGGCTTTCTTTTTAGTTTTACATTTCCAATCGATCACAGACTCTTTCCATTTTGTTGCAGTCTTTTCACCCAATCCTAATGCATTTAATTGTGCAGTAACAGTTTGCCATAGGTTTTGTTGAGCTTGCCTAGCATTTGTAGATGTAAATTTTCCAGTCAGAATTTCTGGGTGTTGTTCGGCAAAATTTAAAAATAACTCCCAATGTTTATTTTGTACTTTCATACGGGCCATCTAAAATTAAAAAAAATTTAATTGACATAACTAAACCTCGTAATGCTTTTTAATAATCATTAATTATAATTTTTTTTATCATAAAATTAACCTGACCACTAAGGATAATAAACAAAAATTATTAGGTGTCAAGAAACCGTAAAAGATAATACGGTTGACGGCACGTTATACTACATTAAAAAAATTATAACCTAAAGTTATAACCTAAAATAAGCGATCGTAAAGTGCGTAGCGATACCTTCTGACTAGTTGCTATATTTCTATGCGACCGGTATGAGGAGGGAGAAAGGATTTAAGCAATAGCAACTCGGCGTAATTCCGATCTTAACAACATCTTCAGGTCTATCAGCAGGTTGTTGAGCTGGAAGCAAATTTTCTTTCATTTCGAGCCAATTTGGATTGCAAGTCATTGTAATAAAAACATCTGGTTTACCATACTTGCGAACAATAGCCATTGCATCTTGGTAATTTTGCATCATATTTCGAGGTGAACCAATAAATGTCGATGAAAGAATCATTATTCGTCCAATACGAGTATTAGCGTCAGTTGCTACTTTTTCTAAATAATCAATCAATCCTTGATGTTTTTCTATTCTCAACTGTTTTTGGTTTTCTTTGCACCAATTAATTCTATCTTTTTCTATTTTTACATAACTGTCAACAAGCCATTGTTGAAATAATCGTTTACCCATTAAAAAAACATTGAAACTATCACGTACAGCCATTCGATATTGAACATACATTGATCTGGTTACACGTTTTCCATTAATTTGTTTAATACCGTCGTGCCAACCTTGCGAACCGTACGGATAGTACATTGGATAAATCCATGGTTCAACGTTTGGATCCATTGTACTAACATATTTTAAAGTTTTATCACGTTTATTTCTAATTGTAACATAACAATCAGGAATATATATATCTCCATCAGCGGTAGTTGAAAAAATTGCAGCAATTTTATTAGTCCTTTGAACATTATATCTTCCACGATCGATGCCCGTTTTCTTATTTAAAAACCCCATTTTTAAATTAGGCACGCTTAAACCTAAACTTTCCTGATAACAAGTTTCTTCGTGCATCATTTGATATGACTGAGCAAATATATTGTTGCTACGAATAATATCATCTAACGTACGCAATAACTCTTTATCGAGATTTGAATTTGTATTTAAACGATATTCTGTAACTTCGTTAGCGTCAAGAATAAAAAGCTGTCCATAACTTGATTGTTCATTTGTAGCAGGATATAAAGCAGTGTTAATTTGATAATATATTTGACCTTGAATTTTGAAACAATAAGATCCTCGTTTTTGAGCGTTAAAATTAATCAAGTTAGCATTGAAAGATGCAAAAGAAAGTGCACTATTGTAAACTCGCAGATTTTGTAAAAACTGTTTTGATTTCTCATGATTTCCAGAAAATAACTGTTGTAGTTCATTAGGAAGTAATGGTAAAGATCCCAATATTACTTTTCCATTACTACAACAATCGTTGAATGAACTGCCTTTATTGTAAACTTTTTCAGTTTGAAAATGCTTTGCTTTACAGTGTTGGCATTCTACATCCATTTTTACTATATAATGTTGATTTAAATTATAATAATTTATATTCTGAAATCCTTTATAGTTGGCTCGGTAATTTTGTACTCTTCTTTTGGTTAAGTTTATATTACGTGTTTGCAATAATTATTCATCATTAGTTCAGGAAAGAATATCATTTACACTCATCATTGACTGACTTATTTCTGCAATATTTTCATTCGCAAATATTTCGTCAGTGGTTAACAATTGTTTGTTTATATTAATACTATTATTATTACATTTTGAATTCAAAGTTGTCAAAACATTGCTCTGTAACTTTAACATGCTGTTGTTAACTGTTGTAACAGAACTGTTTAATGTTGTAATATTATTAGGTGTACAACTTCGCTTCCGCCGTTTTCCTATAGATCGCTTTAGCGGTAAATGGTGGTCGAAATAAATAGATCATAGACGTCATACAATAAACTTGGGCATCTGTCAACATAATC